AATATATCATCAGTTTTTGAGAAAGTAGTATGTTTAATTTCATCTGAAGATTCAGAATCACTTGATGAACTATAAGGATCTCTTTTTTCTATTTGTTTCATAATATTTTTAGAATTTTTATCATTTAAAGATTTTATGGAAGAATGATGTTGCTCATCTTTGAAATTATTACATTCATTTTTACTGAAAATAAAAATGAATGAATTATAAAAGTACATTTTAATCATGTAATATTTAAATAAGTAAAAATTACTTGTTGATCACAATATCTCCTGTAATATGAGGTAGTTTTTTTGTATGATCAAAAGATAAAAATTTCACATGAATCTTGTCATCTTTTTTAATTTTAGATCCTGACCAATTATTGAATGGTTGATTATCAGGTCGCATAATTGAAACATTGAACAAATTATGCACCAAACAACTGATATGACTATCACTAGTTTGATTGACTACAGCTAAAAATAATAATGTGAACATAAATGTAATTACATTTTGAATAAATATTAGAAAACAGTAAGCACACATAATATTTAATATGTAAAATAGTTTATACTAGCGGTTTGCAAACATTTTTGGTTCATGCATCCCTAAAACAAAAAAATTGAATCGCCCTTTCCATAAATAAATAAAATAACATTTTTTTTATTATTTTAATAAAAGTAAATTACTGTCAATCTAAAAATAAATATAGGATAGTGTAATATACAATATAAATATTTGCCTTAAGACTCCCTAAGGAGGCGCGCCTTATAATTTGAGAACTACTGATTTATACACAGAAAAAAAAATTAATAAATGCTAAGTCTGGAGTATTATTATATTTGTAATGTATGATCTTCATCATCAAGAGATTTTAATTTGAAACCGGTCATACATTACAAAAAAAATATTATAACAATCCAGACTAAGAATTTATTTATTTATTTCTTTATTAATTTAAAAGTATTAACAATTTACTAATTTATTTGAATTCATATATATATATATATATATATAACTAAAAAAACCAATTTATAAAACACTATTTTTACTATTTTATAATAACATTATTTAAACCAAACTCACACTAAATTGTAATCAATCAAGCATATATAAAATACTTTACTTACACATTTTTTTTTTTTTTTTTTTAATAAAAATAAGTCTCATTAGTATTTTATTAATCAATAGAACATATAAAGTTATGAGTTCACAACAATGTAAATCATATAATCAGTACTACATATGGTAGGACTAGGAATAAGTTTTATATAATATATATATACATATAAATTTATAATATTTTCATATTAAGGAGTACTCAATATAATAAAACTTACATATTATATTTTCAATCAAAACATTAAAAATATAAACATATTAGTTTTTATTTGTTAGTAATACTTATAGACCATAGTTATACTTTTATTTGTATTAACATATATTAATGCTGTATTGATTTTAAGTGTTAAATGAGTCTAATAGTTAGTAGCCATACGATAAATAATAATAATTTAACTTGAGATAAGAACATAGGTGTGTTTAGATTTTGGTGGTTGAGGGAGCATAACAAATTTTTAAATCATGACACTTATTTTTAGACATGAGAAATAGTTATTTTTTATGTTAAAAGACTTGCAATGATATGAATATTTTTTAAATAAAACTAAACAGAATAAACATTGGCATGCCACAGTAATAATAATGTATTTAATACTAAAATAAAAACACATACATAATACTAATGTGCTTTAGAGGTAACTGTACACTGTAGACAGAAATACAGCTAGAGTTAGATCGGTCTAGCTAGACTGCACTAAGAAGTGTGTTCACACTATAGGGAAATGTGCTCTAAATAGAGCAATCTATGAGAGTGCATAGATTAAATCTACCTAGATAAGTCTATGGCCCATGTACATTAGTCAGACTTGATAGACTAGATACCTAGTTGTTATTGATATAGCATTTGGGCAAGTTGGTAACAAAATTTCTTCGTACAAAAAATGTTGGACTGCAAACGTGTTGCAACTGCAATTATAGTGTGTAGTTTGATTAAAAAAAAAAAACTCCCAAGAGAATTTCACTGTCTTATCTGCACCTGCTCCACTCTTTTTATTTTTTATTCTTCGGAATTCACTATTCATTTGGCACCAAAGATGGTGTAACTTTCTTCTAACTTCCGCAGAAGTTATTTCTAATTTTTGTATAATTGTTTCCATACATTTTGCCTTTACCTGCCTGTCTCTGTATTCCTGCAGTGTACAATACCACAGTGCAGGAGACAATTCAAGAAGCAAAATTAGTTGATAGGTTTTTTGCTTGTCCCACACAACTGCAGCCATTGTACAAATAATTCCAAACAAAATATGTATACAAAACAAAACGATATCGAAAACACTGTTGATAATTAATTCAAATATGTTCTCGTGCTCTATTTCATCTATTCAACTGAACATATAAATCTAGACTGCTATAGCTATAGTGTAAAATCTCCTTGTACATAGTAGATTTTTGTTTATTCTATTTAGTCTACCTAGACCCTAGAGAAGCAACCTCTAGAGCGCTCTAGATCTTGTGTATACTTTTAGACTGAATGTAGAGCTCTAGCTAGAGTAACTCTACAAGAAAAAATCTACAGTGTACAAGCACCTTAGGAGCGGTCTGTTGTGAGACCAGTACCTACCCGTAAACACACCTATGGATAAGAAAAAAAAAAGAATATTATAACTAATACTAATAATAACCTTCGATAGTAGATCCAATGGGAGGTCTGAATATAAATACATCAACATTGACACCAACACTAATACAATGTCGTATATCAGCTGGAATTAGTTCATTAGAACTTATTTTACCAAATCCCATAATCAATCCATTTAAACTGGAAACATTAAAATAGAATATTTTGAAATTAACCAGGGTTACTGAATTGTGTCATAATTAAACTTTAACTAAATGCAACATTAACTTACTCAGAACAGAATGTAAATTTCAGCTTCTGAAGTTCATCCTTGATTGATTTTGAAAATGTTTTTGGATTACTAGGTGCAGCATAGAACCCCAATTTCAACCTGAACTTGTGATTTTTGTGTAGATATACAAACTTGGGTAAATTATTAGGATCCATAATTTGTTTTCACATTAACACTATTTCAAAATCGAGAACAACATTAAAAAAAAAACCAACTAAATACCAAGTACGCATGTGCTATCCACAGGCCGCATTATTAAATAACAAAACGAACAACCTTATTGTTTATCAATCTTATATTCAACAATCACAAGCCACCGATCACCGCAAACAAAAAATTAATATACTTAACAACATATTAATAGACTTTTAACACATGTGATTAAATTTGAAACGTGAAAGTGAAATAAAATATAGTACATTTCGATATACCACGGAGCTGATGCGAAGAAAATATAAATATGCGCTATTGGCGGGTGATATATTGTCTTATCAATAATTATTATGAAGAGTTGGAGATACCATACTAGAATTACTTTATTACCCTCTATGGTTGAATTACAGCTGATTTATACTATCTAACATAGGTTAACATATATCTGAATCACAAAATAGATGAAGGTAATTTATGAAATAGATTATTTCATCTATTCTGTGTCTGAGTCACGGCTTTAGATAATAGACGTAATAATATTATCTTTAGCCGTGATCTGAATATTATATATTTTTATCGGTTGTTGCCTAGACGCATGCATAATAAGTACCTACTATCTTAATTCATCCCCGAAGCTAACACCACGAATTAAGATATTTTAGTGATACTGTTTTGTGATTTGAGTTATTTTAAATATCTAAAATTGTGCGCAACACTTTATCCATTTTAGGGTTAAGAAAATTAAACGATCACTATCATCGTTTAATAGCAGAACGCATGTATTGCTGGAATACGGATATAGAACAATACATACATTTCAATTAGATGCTTTTTGTAGCATTAGATTGTTTATTAACTCAGAAAATTCAAGACTTATTACTTAATTATAATTTAATGAAGTTGCCATTGGCAGAACAATAGGTTCTGGATTTGATGCTTAAATATTGAATTTAAAATTAGAGAACAAACTCAAATTTGGCATATGATCAAAGTGAACAATATACAGCGTTTTATTATTTTTAGTGTTGATTGTTAACGATGACTAACTACAACTGCAGATCTACGGTTTACGGTATATTTAACCTTATAATATATTACCTAGGTTTATTAATAGAAAACCATAAATTCATAGTAATCATTTAATAATTTAATGATACTAATTTATATATTTCTACATACATCACTTATTTTATATTTTAATTATTTTATTATCAGGTGTCTATTAAATTATTGTAGTAAGTAGACTAAAGTGTAGTACTAAGTACTAAGTGTACTACTTGTAGTCAGTGTAGACTAATTCTTTAATATTTCTAATCTACGTTTCACAAATGGTTTATCTAAATCAAATAATTAATATGGATAGTTTTAGAGAGTAATTCCTAAACAATTGTCTAATTATAAAGCTATTTATCATAATGATGCTTAATACGTTTATATTTTAATATTTATAATACTTTAAACGAATCGTTTAAGTTCCCAATACCAGTGGTGCCAAATTCGAACTTTTTTTTGTGAAGCGAAATCTACAATTTTTATCCCACTAAAAACCCGTCCATCAACTTTTTCAGTCAATGATTATGTATACAACACTTAATTTAACTTGGTTAACCCTTAAACGATTTATTGGTTGATCATGTTAAATAAAGTAAATAAATTATAAATATTTTTATTATTATAATTAATTAAAAAAGTTAAGTAAAAGAATTAAATGAATTACTATAGGTTTAAGTTTAAAGGTTTTTTTTTTAGTATACCTACTGAGTAGGTCCTACTCGCTTACACCCATTCACTTATTTAAGAAGTAAAGCGATTATTGCGATTATTGCTTCACACGTTATTCGAATTCGACATCATTGCTCTAAACATATAAAATTACCCAAATCTAATAACATTTCTATGATGTACCTACGTGTTGTTTATAAGTATAACTTTGATTTGAGATGTGAAATGAAAAAGAAAATATAATAAATAAAGGAAAAATAAAACATTTTCATATATTTGTATAACAAAAACGCATCACTATTTATAAAAATTGATCTTTTATATAAAATAAATATTACTATAACAGTGGATGCATTATAATAATTTGTTTTAAATGTATTAAAAAAATTTAAAATTTGTATGGTAGGTACCTAGTTACTTTTACTGAAAAATACTGTTATTGATATGTATCATTACAAGCCCGGATAGCTCAGTCGGTAGAGCATTAGGCTTTTAACCTAAGGGTCCAGGGTTCAAGTCCCTGTCCGGGCGTACATTTTTTTTCCAATTTTCCAAATAAATATTTTAAAGATATTTTAACATCAAATTTTTTTTACTAGAAAGTCGAAAAAAAGTTTTAAAGATGTATTTAGAAAATTAAGTTTTGACGAAATCGGGTATTTTGATTGTTATTTTATAAATGTTCAAGAGATTTTTATTGCAATTTTCAATATTGAAAATTGAAATTTATATAAACACTTGATATTTTTTATTTTTCCCAAATTGTTATAGGTTAGGTTTATAAATTTAAATATTTCGTTGATAATACGGAGGAATGTTAAAAGGTTAGCTAATTAATTACTAGTTACTAGTTACTAGTTAATTCTAGGTAGGTAGATGCTTTTTAATTTTTTTTTTTTTGCTAACGTTAGAACATTAAAAGTTAAAATTTGAAATTTGGTTCTAGTACATCAATCAAGTACTACATCAAGTATTACAAGTATTAAATCAATATTTTGGAATATAAGTTAATTCACTTGGCTTCTTTCATTCTGAATTGTTTTTCGAGAGCAATGATAAATTAGCTTAGAGTTTAAAAGAATATCATATTAATATTATTCAACCATCAATGTAATTAACCCGACCTAAGATTTTCGTATTATTATTAATGAGTCACCTTATGAGTATGGAATTCGAATCCATATGTAAAATGTGTTTCTATGTACTCTCTATGAAATGTATATTTTTAGAATGTCCCATTTACCAACTTGATCGAGGTAAATTAAATATAAATACCACATTATCCAAGTAAATAATTGGATTCGGACAAGAAAGAAAAATTCAACAGCAAACATTTAGACCACACTTTACAAAATCCTTATTATGAAATGGCTATTGAAGAAACTTAAACTATTCTAGGCTAATTTAACTTCGTATTTAAAGTCAAGCCAATAAATAAATAAAAAAAAATACAATATAATGGTTGTTCGTCAGTTCGTGTATCAACTA